TATATAATCTATTCTGTTTCGTTGTGTACCAGCTATTCTGGAAATGAAGCTGTAACTGTAATAAAGGTGTTCAGTGTATAGGTGGATAAAGAGTTAAACACCTGATTATTGACTTGTAAAATTGAGCAATGTGAACCTCTAACACTTGCCTTTTTTATCAGCTGTAGGAGCAGGCACTGATGATTTCTTTGCAGATAGAATAAAAGTTTTATTTCTTTTCTGAAAACTTTCTTCAAATAGGTGAACACAGGGTTTGAATAAAACACACCTGTTGTTTAAGGCCTTTTCAAGCAGATAATATTTATGCTGTGCACACTTATCTGGAGACCTAGTTCTTGTCTGTAGACATTGGACTTTCACTAAGGTCAGAGGCCAGTTCTCTCCTAATTGAACAGTGATTAGGTATAATGGTACCAAATAGTGAATAGACAAAGTAATCTGACAGTAAAGATAAAAAAAACTAAACAAAACATGTTCACATATTAGTGTAGGCTGGTTCTCAACTCACTGAACGCCCTGTCAGCTGGGATCCTGCACTAACATGACTCCTCATGTTCAAATCTATTAACATAAACCCATGTTAAACTGGATCAGACTACTTTTGTTGTTTCATTTAGCATATCATTGACTCTATCTCTCAAAAATTCCAAAACATTTCTGGATTTGTCTGGAACAATTAGCTACTTATATTTTCAAAATGTAAAAATTTACCAATGTAGCCACTGTTTCCGTCTTAGGAAGCATTAGAGAATTTTTCATTCGAGAATTTGAATCAAAGGATACATTTCAAGGGAATTGAGGAAGGTCCAATTGACAACTTTTTCGTAGCTTTGTAAAATCAGAGAGCTTGGATAACTCAAACATGATCCATGCTGCTTTAGTGGTCGAATGACAACTGCAGCTCTGCATAATTCTAGAAAATCTGCTCTCATCTCATCATATCAAAAGCACAGGGTGTCAGTGGTGGACCTGCCAGTTCTGGTATGATATGGCAAATGGGTTTCAGGCTGCACAGTGCCGAGCAGCGAGGACAGGACCCACTACAGGACGCTGAGTCATGAGGCCACCCTCATTAAAGTTGAAGCTCGCTAATGTGCCTGAGCTTCAAATGCTCATTTGTTGCTCATGTTGTGCAAATCCAGCTCACTCCTTTGTGTTAAAGTTCAGGTCACCTGGCTCAGTTTAACACCGGCTGCCTGGAGAAAAAGGAAATTAGCTGCTAACTCTGCGGTGGTATGTGACCTCACACAGTGGCAGCCAAGGCCAAGACTGGCACACACACAAACACGACTTTACAGAGAAGTGATTGTAAAGGTTTTCTTTATTTAACACACATCATGCACTACAACCAATACAAACCTCCTGATATTCAGTGGAGTGTGATTATTACACGAAAATGGATTTCTTAATGATTTGGTGCTTTTATTCTATCAAACTACAATAACACTGATATATAGAGTTTTATTTATATGTATATGTTTGTAGAAAGAGATGAAAGCAATAAAATACAGATGTGCTCAAATGAAAATGAACTACAGCATACAGAAAAAAGAATCACAAAGTGTTGACACTACATATATAAAAATGTAAAAAAAAAAAAGTTTTCAAACAGCACAACAACAGTATACACTCTGATTTTCTGTTTTCCAATTAAGTTTGTATCGACTCACAGCTAAATATATTTACATTAGAAAATATAGCATTCATGACCATGTGGGATATTCCTGAATCAGCAGACCTGTTCTGAGAGCTGCTTTTGTTCCCGTGCGCAGACTGAATGTGAAGCAGGTGGAACATGAAAATAAAGCTCCTCCATCCTGTTTCATGGGCCCTACAAAATGGCCCTCTGTTCTCCCACACCCGGTGCGGTTAACTCGCCTTCCAACCCAAACACGTCTACCCTCCACGGCTGGAATTGTGGTTAACCTTTTCATCTGCGAGCACCGGACAGTGTGGCGAGTCTGGTTTCCATTAAGGCGTGTGAAATTTCGGAGGTTGAGAGGTGGAAAGGATACAGGTAAAAATGCAAGGTAGGCAGACATGTTATTCCACTTACAACTGAAGGGTTGACTCTACGGGGAACAAAATAGACCTTTGGGGCTTTCAATGCTACGCTCTTTATATAGATATTGCTGTATTATAGTGATTCTGTAAAGGTCTGGAAACATTCATTTAAAAATTAAACTT